GCCCAGGTGGAGGGTATAAATGTGGAGGTCAACAGGGGTCAGTTGCTCTCTGATGGCAGTAACTATAGGGGGTCAGCTGGGCTTAGTAACCAACACCTAGGACTGAGACATAACTTTCTAGATAAGAAGTTTCAGAAACCTCAAGGGATTTTTAGTGGGAAGTACCCTGGTGGAGATGGATTTCAGCTCCTGTGGGTTTTGTATTGAGGGGACTTGTTATGCTATTTATATTTAGAACAGAACTTAGATCAATGACCAATAACCTTGGGCAGACCAGCTTCAGTGAAAGAGATTTAATATTCTAATGGGAGAAAGGAAAGAGGGGAGAGATGGGGAAGGAAGGGGAAGGGAAAGAAGTGGGGAGGGAAAGAGGTAGAGGCAAAGAAGCAGGAAGGGAGGGAGGGAGCAAGGAGAGAAAACAGACAGGTAGACTTCCCTTTCTCTTTTGCCTTAATTACCCCTATGGTGCCTTGGAGGTAAAGACTGTGAAAAAGCCCTCAGGACTCAGCTTCTTGGATTCTAGATACACTCCAGCCCAACCTCTGTTTGTCAAGGCCTGGTGTCTGCAGGGAGATGACCAAAGATGGACGAACAGCACCAGCTATCGCTTTGCTTCCCATGGCCTGTGTCACCAAGTGCCATGGTAAGTGGAAGTGACGCTTCCCCTGAGACCATGCTAGCTCTGATAATACTCCAGCCTCCTGCCCACCACTTGCCCTCAGGCCAACTGGTGGGGCAGGATGCAGAGAGCACGAGAGAAGCCACATGGCCCCAATGGCCCTTAGAACCATAAGCAGGGAGTCTGGGCCGGAGATGAGGGAGACGCCTTCTCCTTCAGGCCAGCTGTGTCCCCCAGATGTCTTGGAAGCCACAGGGGGAACTCTGAGAACTGGCCAATTAGCCTTCTGATAATGTCTGTGTAGTTAGGGGAATGCTTCTCTCCACCCTGGCGACAGACACTTCCAGGGTCCTGCCCATCCTCCTCGTCATTCCCTCTGTTCTCAGTGCAGACCCCGCCCCAGTGCTCTCTGTTGCCAGGACCTGGGGCTCTGCTGAGACCCTTCTTTGGCAGCAGACACATGCTTGTCTTAGGCTAGTCTGGAAGCACTGGAGGAGTCAATACTTGGGAGCAGTTTTCATGGGTAAACCTAGCTTTCTTCTTGCCAGGACAGCTCCAAGGCATGTACTGTGCCTCTGAAGTCTCAGCAGGATGACACCAGCAGTCCCTGCCTTGAGCTACTCTTTAACCCACCTTCTCCTGGTCTTACATCCGTTCCTGTCTTGCTTGCTCAATTCTCTAAAGTGTTCCCAGAAGTTCCCTCCCTCACTTATTCTGACCTTTGTTTTAAATTCGGCTTCTGGATGACTCCAACATAAATTAATCCCAAATCAAGGAACAAGTTAGTTCTCTTCTACTTCTGTCGGTATGAGTTTTTGCAGTGCTAGCTGGCTATGTAGCAGGTTATGTTGGATACCGTTCTCAGACTGGTTAGGGAAGTTACACAAATAACTAGACCAGACAAATGTGCAAGCCCTATAAAAAGGAGATCTGACTTTCGTGAACACTGCTTGTCAGGGAAGGTATCGAATCGGGGTTGGCCTTGGAGGTTTTGGAGGGTGAACAGGAATTCCTCCAATAGACAAAAGGGTGGAAAGAGCATATTAAAAATTTGGCGCTCATTAAACCATAATATTAGTTCTTGAGTATCACCTATGTTGCTAGAGAAGAAAATATATTTTGAAGATTTATTTTATTTTTACTCTTTGTATATGAGTGTTTTGCTTGCATGTATGTCTGAACATCATATACACACCCAGTATCTGTGGAGGCTGGAAGGTAGTTGCAGATAGTTGTGAGCTGTCTTGTGGGTGCTGGGAACTGAATCTTGGTCCCCTCCAGGAGCAGCAAGTACTTATATAACCACTGAGCAACCTCTCCTGGTCCAGCAAGCATGTCTTGAAGGAGGGAGAAAGGCTTAGGAAAGAAGAGGAGAGGATTAATGGCAGAAAGTATGGCTAAATGGACAAGTGGGATTTTGTTTGCACCACTGATGCTGTTTATGTATTATTTTGGAGAGACAGGAGTATCTTTGGAAATTGTGAGTTATCTTTTTCTGATTGTCCAAGTATCAAATGCTCATTGTAGAAAACTGGGCAGATAGATACCAAGTGGCGTAAAGGAGAAAATGAGATTAATTTAAATCTATGGCTCGTTCAGTCATTCTGGTATGTCTCCGTGGGATTTCAGGTGAGGTGTTGGGCTTGAGTTTCAGGAATTTATCTGGCAGCTGGGTATGATTATGTGATTAGAAAGACAGGGGCTTAAGGTGAGCAGCAGGGGGTGATGAGAATCCCCTGGGCTGCAGGAGGATTGGCAGGGCTTCATTGGCGGTCAGAGAGGAGAGTATCAGGGCTTGGTGACCCAGGCATGGAGCACAGGAGAGCAAGACAGGCCAGCTAGAGGGATTCAGATGTTGTCATCCATCGTAAGTAAAGAGACCAGAAATAAGGACCGTGAGACCTGGGTTTCCCTTCCAGCTCTGATACCTCTGACATGTGGGACCTCAGACCGGTCTCTTGAACCTCAGAGTATGTGTGTTCTTTCTCACTGGCTTGTCACGGAGGACCTTCGATGACCCTTTGATGACAGGGAACCTGTACTCTCCAGTTCTCATCCTGAAGCCTCAGGTCCACCCTTTGCCTAATCTCCTGCTTCCTGTCTTCAGTCCCCAAGGGATCAAAGTGAACCTACCACCCTCTGGGCAGCTCTTCCTCTCCTCTCTGCATCCTCTCCACAGGATACCTGCATTGCTGGCCCTGTGTGTGAAACTTACCTGAAAAGTCCCGTGTATCGGCAGTCCATTTACTCACTCGTTCACTCATGGTATGTGCCAGGCGTTGTTTAGTGAGTTACAGGTGCCAGAGACACAGAGGTGGGTAGGGCAGACGATGCCTCTGCTCTTCTGGAGCTCAACTGTCATTCAAAGGGAGATGAAATTAATTCTTTAGTTAAGTCAGTGATCTGATGGGGGGGGGCAAAGTTTTAGATGCAAGAGTTTAAGGAGTTTCTGCACTCAGACCTGAATAACTCAGATGGAAGCAAGAGCAATTGCAAAGACCCTGGGGTAGCTTTAAGCCTGGAATGTTGGAAGCATGGAAGGATAGGTGTGACTAAGCTTATCTAAATTTCTTCCTGTGTTGTTTAAGTGTCGTCCCTACATTCCTGCCTGCTGCCCTTACTGATTTGGCGTCACCAAATTCCTGTTCTCCAGTGACCACAGCCAGTCCCGGACGGCAGTAGGCTCTTTACACATTGGACTGGGAACTCCTGGGTATCAGTGACTGTCTCCTTGGCTCTCCTAGCTGGGTCTATTTAGACACAGGCACAAGTTGGATAAATAACTCTGCGGTCCAAGTATCTCACGCTTAAACGAGACAGAAGATGCTGTCGAAATCGCAGCCCTGCTCTTTTCATCCATCCCCTTCCTTTGCTTTACCCACACCAGCCCATACCACACCAGACTTCTCCCTCATCATATGTGTTTATTCATTGTGTTTCCTGTTTTCCTCTTGCTTCTGGAACTGAACAAACAGCTCTTTAAAGGTGTTGTCCACTTGTGGGAGACTAAAAAGGCTCGCCTGGGCACTTCAGGGCAGGAGGCATTTATAAGGACGAGTATCAGGGCTGAGCCTTACAGAATAGGGTAGCAGACTCCAAGGAGAACAGGGTCACAACCTCCAAAGCTTGCAAGCCTGCTGGTCACAAAGAGAGTCAAGAGTAAAATTCTGGGCCATGACCTTTCAACAAGCTGAGCTGGCCAAAGAAAACTGCCCAAGGGCCGGGCCTGCCCAGCCTGTCAGCCACCAGTTGCAGGCTCATCTTAGAGCACCAAGTTCCAATTTTGCTGGTAGAGAAAACTCTCACCAAGTAGATTAAGTGGTCTGAGTGAATGACAGCGCTGGTGTCGCTAGGGTGGTGGCTGCTCTCCCTATTCTTTCCAGCCCCCCTTTGAAGACATAGATTCCACTTCTGGGAGTTTGTTGCCCTCTTCCTTTGCTCACAGGCCAGAGCCAGGTGTCTTTGGGAACCGCGTGCGCTATTCCTGCTGAAGAGAGACAAGAAGAGTGTGAGCCAGGTCCCCACGAGTCCTCTAGAGTCCGGCTCCCGCCACCCCGGAGCCCGTGGGAGCTGCGCCCCCGCCTCTGCCAGTCCGGGCCACGCTGTCAGTCTGCATTAGTGCTAACAGGCTCCAGACCGAGCGGGCTGGGCGCGGGGCTAATGCAATAGGCGCGTTACCTGGGGCACAGGCTACATTACCAGGTCGGCCTCCTCCGGGGGCGCGGCCAGAGCCAGCCAGCCCGCGTCCTGCCGGCTGCCCCGCGCCCGCAGCGCTCCCGGGGCCCCGCCTGAGTGCCACGCGGCGGAGCTCAGCCTGGGCTGGCGCCTGCGATCCCCGTGCCGCCCACCACGTGAGTGCGCACTGCGCGCGAGACCGGTAAGTGTGGGGCCGGCTCCGAAGCACCTCGCGAGCGGCTGCACCCACTAGTGTCCCGAAGGCTCCCAGGGCTGTTGGGTTCCGCCTCCCTGAAGCAGGACGGGACCACGAGTAGACACCGGCCCTGCCTGCAGGGCCCGCAAGAAACTTGCCATTTAGGGATGTGGGGTCGGGTGGGGGGGCGGGTAGAGGCGGAGAATGACCCAGGTAGAGTCGACAGGGTCTTTAGCCCGACCCACAGGGCGGCCCGAGGAGGTTCCCACCTATGAGTTCTGTCCCAGTCGGACGCGCGTCACAACCTCTGTCTCCAAATTTTTCCAACACATGTGCTCCCTTTTCTAGAGGAAGCCGGAGTCCGATCAGCTCACGGATCCCGACGTTCTGGGTTCCCCTGGGTGGTCTCGGTTGGAGCAAACAGACTGCAAGCCCTGGTGACCACTTTTTCCCCTTTTATACAAGCAGAACTTTGGTGTGCCTCCGAAGTCCCTCTCTACAGCCGCACCCATGCTTCTGGCGCGAATGAACCCGCAGGTGCAGCCGGAGCTCGGCGGGGCGGATCCGCTGCCTGAGCAGCCCCTACGGCCCTGCAAAACCGCGGATCTGCTGGTGGTGAAGGAGCGCAACGGCGTCCAGTGCCTCCTGGCGTCCCAGGACGGTGATGCGCAGCCCCGGGAGACTTGGGGCAAGAAGATCGATTTCCTACTGTCTGTGGTCGGCTTCGCAGTGGACCTGGCCAACGTGTGGCGCTTCCCCTATCTCTGCTACAAGAATGGTGGTGGTGAGCGCAGGGTTGACTGAGGCTTTGGAGTTGGGAGGCTGCTTGCTCTTGTAGCAGAGGGAGGGGAGCAGGGATACCCATGGAGAAGAGACGCACGAACAAATTTAGTGTTTGGGAAAGAACTCTTTAGGGCGCCGGAAAATAGGATCAGAATACTTTCCATTAGGGAAATTGAGGCAGGATCTTGGAGAGTGGTAGGCACAGAGGCTCAAGGATAGACTCGGGGCACCTGGTCGGGTGAGGAACATGCGTCAAAGCTGCCCCCCAGGAAAAGGGGTATTGATCTTGAAAGGAATTCCCAAGAGTTTGGGATGTTCCAGCCAGACAGAAGATGTCAATGCCTCCAGCACTCGTAGCTTTGGGGCTCGAACACTAGGCCGGGTAAAATTAGAGCCCTTGGATCACCGGAGGGCTACAGAGGTAAGTGCACATAGCTTTTGTGAACTTAGGCCACTAGATGCCAATGACTGAGCTGGGCCCTGAGAAAGGAGGCCTGGGAGCCTGGAGTGTTTTCTTCAGTTTTACAGGCTCTGACAACATTATGGAGTGGGCTACAGGTGAACCTGGAGAAGACACTCAGCAGCCGAACTCTTTTGCCCTCTTCTCGATGAGCTGTCATTTTCCCATCAGCCCTGGAATGAGAGCACAGAGGTCACATACAGTCCCGTGGAAGCAGCCTTGAGCTCCTTCCTGAAGGACTTGGAGCCTAAGATGCCCAAGTCACCCTGGCCCCCATCATCTTTACTGAGATGGAAGTTCAGGAGTGCCCTGCACAGAACCCAGGGACACTAGCTTCTAGAAGAAGACATTGGACCATCCCTGGTACTACAAGATAAGGCCACACCTTGCCTTGTAGTAGTTCTGACTTGGAACTTAAAGGAAGTCATTTGGAGGCAGGCTGACAATTTACAGGGTTTGGGAGGAGCATGTGACTCCCAGAGTCCAAGATGCACAGCTCTGTGTTTCTGTGTGCTCTCTGGACACTTGCTTTGGGATAAGCAATACCCAGTATTTGTAAAAAGGGTGTGGTCACCAAAATGAGCACGTGGCTCTGAGTTGATCCTGTTGCATATAGAAGTATCAACTCTCACTGAGAAAGCAAATCAAAGCTAGAACCAATTTGATGAGCAACCACGTGTTCCCTTCCTGACATGGGTCTGTCACCACTAGATATTCCAGTTAAGGAAGCTGGGACAAAAGTCCCAAGTGTCAGGAGTTGCTTCCTGGTCCCTGGTGGCCCTTGCTACTCTTCTGGCTCAGTACTCTAAGCCGTAGTTGCTGGGCAGAGAGGGAAAGCTAAGGAAGAGAAATACAACCTGAAGGTGAAACTTTTCCACACTTCGTGGCTGACGACCTACCAGGGACTCTCAGCAGATTTGAGCATTTGAACATTCTGGCCCTTTGGGGGCCAATGGTAGCAACAACATAAAAAGGTAGATTTTCTATATTTGTAGCAAACAGAGAGATGACGAATAAATGACAAATTGGAAGCCCTTAGGACAGTTGCATGTCCTTAGTGACCGTCTGAGACGGCCTGTCCCTAGACACCAGACGCCCTGTCATTAATCAACAATATTTCTCTGGGTTGGCTCAGTGTAAGGCATAATGCTAGTCTCTGCAGGGGTCACCCGGATGTGTAAGCCACCACTCTGCCTGCTGGGAGCATTGATTTCCAGAAGTCATCATTGACATGCTGTGATCCATCCTTTCTATTGCTATGTGCCATTGAAACTAAAGCTTGCCACATGTGCCGAATAGATAGATATTCCAGGGCTCTTGTTGATGCTGTGTCCACATGGCCACTGCCATGTTGCAGGCAGGGAGCGAGAGCAAGAGAGAGCGAGAGAGAACGCACCTGCTGTGCTGCTGTGTGCTGGATTCCTGGAACAAAGTATAGCAAATTTATCAGATACAAAGTTTTCATTGAAATTGACTAAATTTTCCTTTCTCCGGTATCCTGGTCCTGGAGTGGCCAAGCCTGAGTTGTTCTATAATTTGTCTTTTGTGGCCCTGTTTCCAAAGTGGACTGGAGAAAGCTGAGGGAACAGGCTTAGTTCAGAATCTCCAATAAGGTTCAAATCCTAGGAATGTGGTTGAAGGTTCCTACACACTTGTAATTGAACAAATATATTAATAAAATAACTCCAGCTCTCAGAGACTCATTGCCAGTTTCACAAACCACGGCAGAAACATGGCAGGAACTAACACAGTGATGTGTTAGAGATGATGATGATGATGATGATGGTGGTGTGTGTGTGTGTGTGTGTGTGTGTGTGTGTGTGGTGCAGCCTAGACATTAGGAGTCTTGGCTGTAAAGTTATAGACTCCAGTTTCTAACACATATGACTTTGGGCAACTCTCTAGGCCTTCGTTTCCTTACCCGTCCAATAATGTTGCTCAGCTAAGAGGAGGGCCAAGGACCAAATGCCCCCGTGCGTGTGGAGAGTTAGCACGACATAGGCCTTAGCGTGCCTGCTACTCTATCGTTATTACTAGGATCCTATAGGAAAGCGATGGGAGAATGACTGGTGCTGTAGAGGTTTCAGGAGGAGCTGTTGAGCAGTGACTCAGGGCAAGTGAGTTCTGCTTGGAACTCAGATTCGCTGGGCAGGGAGGGCTCAGCAAAACAGTATTTTAGCATCCACCTGGGACAGGCTTTGCAGAAGAGGAACTTAGGCTGGCTGGAGGGCAAGCCAGAAGAGATAAGGGTAAGATGCAAGTTGGGGCTGGGCTGCGGAAGAAGCCCTTGCTAGGCTGAGCGGGAAGACCTACACCAGTGAATTTCCATGGCTGGTGATGAGGTTGGCAATTGGTCTGGGGATGGTATAGCCCTTCATCTGGGAGAACAGAGCCGTCTGATTTTCAGTACGCCCATCTCTGTTCCAGGGGATGCTCAGCTGCCCCTGCAGGCCTTGATCTCCCCTGAGACCTTATACTGTTTTTTTGTGAGTCCCTTCTCCTTCAGTAATTCTGAAGGTATTTCTTGAATCCCAGGAGAAGCCAAAGAGCTGAGTTTGAATTCCAACCCTGCCACTCATTGTAACCTCAGACATCAAAATTACTGCTATAAAGTGACCCAGTCTTAGATGATCCCCACAGTTCCTTGCTCCCCAATAACCCTGACTACAGCTGGATACAAGCCAGGCTTCATCACCCTGCCCTTTAGCAGCCTGGCCCTGGGTCTTTGTGTTCTTCAGTGCCAGTGTTAACATAGAACTCTCCAAGTCTGAGTGTTTATCCTGGCCCAGACGGGAGAATGTTTTGAACTGACGAAAGTGCCAATAGTTTATGCCCTTGGCTAATATTTTATGAATGAATTACTGTCAAAATCAGCCTGCCTGAACACCTTCCTGAAGACCAGCTGCTGGGATGACAGGCTCTAAGTTCTAGAGGGTTCCCTTGGAACCCAAGACTGGGTCTGTGCTGGCCTCTGGGAAGGAACAAATACGTAGGTGACTGAGTACTCCTTCCTGGAGGTGGTGCCTTGTGGATTGTCCTCTGTGCATGACGCTCTGCATCGGATTCTGTGGCGACTGTGGATTTTTGGGTTTGAGCATACCTAGCTCTGAATCAGAGTCTGATATTTGCTAGAGAACTGGCCTTGGACAAGCCATATGGTGTCTCTAACCCTCGGTTTTCTTGTGCAGAAAATAAAGGGTTTAATTTTTAGCCCTTTCTATAGGGCCAGATAACATCAGACAACATAAAGTTCCTGAGATAGTGTCACATAGTATGGGCCCAGTAGAGATGCTACCATTTTGATGTGTTTGGTGATACTGGTTATGTGCTGAACATAGGTGTAAGATGAGGTCCTGATTATTCTGGAAAGAAATTGATGGAGGAGATAAGGTCAAAGAGAGCTCCTTAAGCCTGGGTCCATAGTATAGCAGCTTTAGGAGGCAAAAGCTGAGCTTTGCCCATGTACAGACAGTGTATAGTGTGCCACTCTAGACCATGAGATGCTATGATTCTGAGTTCCCAGTATATTTCCCTCACCACCCAAGTGCCTGGGATCCACAACAACACTTATAAGGGTAGCGCTTATATAGACATCAGGGGTTTCTCAGCTTGATGCTTTCATGTCTAGCTAGGACACAGCGACATCCACATATGGATCTTGTTTGGCTGACACTTATTATTTAGCTCAGATGTACAAGGAGCCAAGCAGCATGGTGCTCGAGCTATGGAGTAAGTACCATAGCTATTGGCACCCCATCTCCCAACTGAAGGTACTGCTCTGGGCTGGTTATCAGCTAGTGGCCCAGTACTGTGAGCTAGCCAGAAGGAGCTAAAGGGCTGTTCCCAAGCAAGAGGGGCCTAATGGAGAAAAATGCCATGTCTTGCCTTGCAGTCTTGAGTCCTATTGCCTACATGAGGATTAAATTCTAGGACCAGTGGAGAAGGCCCAGGGCTTCCATGGGTGGCACCCACCATGTGAGTCACTGCAGAGATCTGTTTCTCCAACAGAAACTCATTGGCTAATGCCAACCCCTAGCACAGAAATGTGTGGAAGAAAACCCCTGCCTCTAGGGAGTCCACTGTAGATATTCTAAAAGTTCATGATGTATTATACTATATTTCAAATGGGGAAGGTGAGGTCGTACTCAGTTCTTTGTGGGTCACAGTTCTTGTATCAATATCACTCTGAGCATCCCAAACACTTTCAGGTTTATTTCTCTTGAAGAGACTGGAACAGGGGAGATGGGAACCAGATTCCACAAGGACAAGTCAAGTTTGGGCGTGACAGTGCAAAGAGAGGGGCTGCAGAAGGAGATGTAGCCCCCAAACTTACTTTCCCAAATTCTACCCCTGCTGACCTCTGAGAGGGGAAGACCCATTCTGCCAGAGTGGTGTCAGTCTTGTCAGAAGCTGTCCCTGGGTACCAAAGCTCAGGCAAAAGGTCATCTTAAGCCAAAATGAAAGTGAGCGAGGGATTGTCCCTCCACCCAGCCATGCCCCAGATACCTGGCTCTGGGTTTTCCTAGGCAAATGACCCCAAAGGACCTGTTAAACAATGTGCAAGGCCTTGTTGCTTATAGGGGCCCGGGAACAGAACTCAGACACAGGACAGAAGAACCCACCAGTATATGCCAGAGGCCTCTTATGTGGCCGATGGAGCAGAGGATGAAGAGAGCTCAAGACCTTGGCCAGCAGAGCTCAGTCTAGAGCTCTAAGAGCTGAGAATTCCAAACTGGAGTTTTTCACAGAACTATTGCAAAGGTTTCTTGTCAAAAAAGAAAGGAGGTGTGTTTTAATTAACGGTGTGGCTAGAGTTGTTATTTTGAACTATGTCTACAAGAGGACTGTGGCCCAGCCCTGTAAGATTTTGGGTAGCTTGTTGAAGTTAGATATCACCCCCTGAGATGTTACAGGGACCAAGGCTGGCTATTTTAGGTATTGATCTTGGTATTGCTGGGAGCCTCAGGCAGTGAAAGCCCATAACTGAGCTGCAGGCTCAGGAAGCTGCTCCGTGCATTTTCACCCCTTGAACACAGCAGAGTTGGGCCAGAATGCTGAAGGAAGCCCATCCTCGGGAGACTGGTCTAGATTTCTGGCTGTAGGATCCAGTGACCACACCCTTCCACCTCGTCCCAGTACCTCAGCCTTGGGCCATCATATTCTTCTAGGTGCCCCTCTACCCTACCCCTAGTCACCTTTCCTCAGACCCCCTCCCCTTCCCATGTGGGTGTCTAGTGATCTTAGTGGCTGCTGGCTTCTCCTCCTGATGACCCAGCATTTACATGGAAAATTCCAGACCCTCCTGTGCCAACAGAGTTCCTCTATAATGTGGGCTATCTGGCAGTTTACACTGGCCCTGAGAGACAAATGCTTCTTTTTTACTAAATCTATCCAAAGACCTTTGGCTAGAGTCTCTTTCTCAACGGATACTTCTCCTTGAAAGGTGATGTGAACACGTGTGTGTGTGTGAGTGTGCATGCACACACAAAGGTCTACTCCTAGCATTGCATAAATATGTATGGGTGTGTGTTGGTGTGAAGTCATATGTTCTGGGAGGACTTCCTAGAAGTTGAGCCCTCAGGGAGGTACATACAACTATGGTTTTTCCAGGTCTCTTTGCATGAGCCCTGCACTTTTACAACAAGGGCATTCCAGAGCTGTGACAGGATTTTGGATTTTCAAGGACTGTGTGAGGCTTGCGGCAATGCATGGGCACACGAGAGACATATAGGGACACAAGGACAGACAGTGATGGCCTTTGCAGACCTGTGCATTCATAAGCAGCTTTTAACTCCATGATGCTGCTACAGGGCTGCTTATGGAGTGATGTCCTCCACCCACCACAGCTACCTTGACCTCTTCCTAACTCTTCAGCTACACTGCCATCTTTTTTTTTCTAAGAGAGTTCATGCCAATGTGCTACTTAATGTCCTCTTTTAGCAGAGACAGTGGACCATTGGATGTTTCCCATTTTTCATTTATACTCTTCATATAACTATTAAGGCTTTTTAAATTAAAATATAATTGCATCATATACACCTCTATTCTCACCCCCACACACTTTCCATGTCCCCTGGGTCACCATTCTCGAGTCTGCTGGCATTTGCAGCCCATGAAACTTCTGAGTGACTCACTGTGGAGAGCTGGGGCTCATGCAGACCCATGGATGTCTGTGCTTCCTCGCTCTGTTGTGACCGTCCATCAGCAGAAGGGGAGATGGGCTTCACTCTGAGTGAGTTGCTGGGTTGGAGGTACCCTTTGGAAGTTCAGAGTCAAAACATTGCCTAAAATAGACCTGGGATGGATTGGCTGGGTCCTTTACTTTGGCCAGGTAGAAGAGAACGTGGACTCTCTGATGGCGAATCTTAGAACTAACATCCAAGCACTGATACCTGACTCTTCCCTTCCCCCTCTCCACTTTGGATGCTAACTTCAGCCTCCAGGTCTACTCAACTGTTTAGGACCTAACCTCCTACTCCGATCCAAGCTCCAGGTGCCCCTGGGATGTAGCAAGTGGCAGCGGAGTGGGACCCAGGCACACTACACTTTGAACCTAGGTTGTAAATGTTCACTAGCATGGACAAGCAACTTGATTTTTCTAAGCCTCAATGTCCTTGCCTGTAAAGCAGGAATAGTGTTGATTATCTCTGGCGTGGTTCTACATGAATACGGTGTGCAGCCTGTGTGGCCTGGCACACACGGGGACCCCATTAAAAGACACATGTTATTTTTACTAACCCATGGCCTCCCCCACATCAGCACCATTCTTATCAACACCATCCCTGTCAGCTCTGTGAGCAAATGCCAGAAGGGCCCTTCTTGTGAAAGATAGGGTTAGGCAGAAGTTCAATGGAAGAAAGGAGATCTCGACACGCATTTCAAAGAATTCCATCCCGGAGCAGACTTTGGAATACTGGGATAGCTTGGCGTGTCCCAGATTCACAAACACTCCCCTTCCCATGTCTTATTCAGATTCATACCCCTTATCTGCACTAGAACATTTTAGAATCTTCAGGGTATGTTGGCAACAAGCCTAGAACTCAGAAGCCAGGCACAACCGGACCCAAATTCTATATCTTACCAGATACATAAGCCTGGGCAGCTCACTTGATTTGACTCTAAGTCCCAGTCTCTTCCTCTGGAGAGCAGGCATAGCACTTGTTTCTCCCAGAGGGTTCTGGGTAGTATCTGAACTGGGATACTTAGTGCTTGCATGATATGCATGATGCGGATATGCAGTAGTTGTTGCTACTCTCCACCCTGGACCTGGGTCTTGCTGCAAACGACCCAGGTCTTGTAACAACAGGACCAGTACTTCGTGCTTTATCCTTCAAAGCCCTAGGCTTTCCACATGGGAGGCAGACACTGAGTCGCTGGGTGAGCTTGACCGTGGCTACCATGCACCTGCTTCTGCTCCAGCTCTCTTGTAGTGAAGAGCTTTAGTTTGCACCCGTAAAATGGAGTTAGCAATGATCTTAGCTCGGTAGAAAATCTGTAAGGCTACAATGAGGTTGCATGGAAAGCACCCGTACCACACTAGGAACTTGGCCAGAGTGAGCTGCTGAGCTATGTGTTAAAATCATCAGCATTGTCATCATCTTTATGTACCCCCAACTTGGCTCATTGTCCTGGTGTGGACGGGTCAGAGATTGCCACGGTTAGAGCATCTTGGTCAGATGTCTACAGGGAGTTTGGTTTTACACTGGCTGTGCTGGGAAAGGAGTGACTGTTTTGGATTGATCTTGCTGACATGTCACAGACACACACACATATACATACATACATACATATATATACATATATATACGTATACACACACATACACACACACACCACACACACACACACACACACACATCCCTGGGTCATGGCACCAGAGCTCTTAGTCCATGTAGTTCACCCAGGGTGTCAGGGCACACAGAGTCTTGGCCCTGGCACCGAGACTTGCCTCGTTCTACCAGGAATGTTCCCTGTGGCCTAGGACCTCCTTCAGGTTCTACTCTGCCTCAGTGGATAGGCTTCTCATGGCCTCTTTGTAGCAGCTTTTCCGTTAGCAGCCTACAGCAGGATGAGCCCCATGGACAGGAAGGAAGTCTAAGGAGAATCCTTCTGTCACTTATCAGCAGTGCCATCAGGAAGCACGGACTTCTCCCTCTGCCTAGCAATGTCCCCCAGGGGTCACAATAACCCTGATTACATCATTTTCTCATGGGTTGCTGTGGCACTCAAGGGGAATGCAATAAAATCAGGTTTGGGGAAGCCTGGTGAGACCACCAATGATATCAGTCACGCCATCTCTCCCTGCCTGGTCTCATTCATCTTGCTTGTGGAAGGAAAGGCTGGCCTCGCCAGGGAGGGTCCAGATTGTGGCTTCTTCATGAAGGGAAAGGTTCGGCACTTAGATGAATTTGGTAGAGGCTGTATCTTGAGGTGCTTCATGATAGGCACCGTGCACTGAGGGCTGAGAAGCGGTGGAAACACAGTTCTTTAGCTTCAGCTCACTCGGCTTTTATTCATGTGACTGCAGACTGCATTTTTATGGTTATGAACACTATGACCGTCTTGCTTGCTGATATATGCATTTCAAGTATTCTTTGTAAATCTATTGACAGACGACACCCCCAGGAAAGCGCCAGGTGAAGCAGATGAACAAGATCCTCACGGCTATTGCAGAGGCTTGACTGTAGCCCTTTAAGGGGCAGCTGTCCTGCAGGTCTAATGCTGTGTTCATGGTTTGCAGGTGCCTTCCTGATCCCATACACGCTGTTCCTCATCATAGCTGGGATGCCGTTGTTTTACATGGAGCTGGCTCTGGGGCAGTACAACCGGGAAGGGGCAGCCACGGTGTGGAAGATCTGTCCTTTCTTCAAAGGTAGGAGTGATCTGAGGGAAGTCAAATATTTTCTCAAGATTGTCCACTATTCCAATTTACACAATGAAGCTAGGTTACATCAAGAGTAGCCTTAAACTTGGACTCCAGGCTGTGCCCCACTAGTTGAGTGAAGGACTAGAGAGTATTTTCATAGATGAGAAATATGAGGATATCAGGGATCTCAGCACACAGACCTCTGTCTCTCATTTCTTTTTTTTTTTTTTTTTTTTGTTGGATTTTTCGAGACAGGGTTTCTCTGTGGCTTTGGAGCCTGTCCTGGAACTAGCTCTTGTAGACCAGGCTGGTCTCGAACTCACAGAGATCCACCTGCCTCTGCCTCCCGAGTGCTGGGATTAAAGGCATACGCCACCACCGCCCGGCTTCTGCTCTCATTTCTTGCTCACGTGGCAGGCATGAAAAGTTGAACACAGATGCCTTCAAGCTCCAGCAGAAAGTTGCTTTGGAAAGCTAATACAATAGCCATGGTGGCTGTAAGATGAACTTGTACTTCAATTTAGAACAGGTCTGTGGGAAGTTACCATGACAACTGCCATTCTCCATCCCCTAGACCTTTGGGCGAAGGGTGTGGAGGAAGTCCAGTATTTCTCAATCACTGGTTAGAAAGATGGTGACAGTGAGGACAAATGCGTCTTACTCAGTGGCAAGAGTCTCTTCAGCACCTTGTATAGACTCAGTTCACGGTAAGGACAGGCTGACATAAAAGTCTTACGAGATATGCGGATTAGCATATTCCCTGTTTAGTCACCTGAAATCCAACTCAAAATGGCTTTATTTTTGTATTCTTTTTTTATGTTTTTACAAATTTTGACTAATTTATAAAGTTAGCATACAAAGTGATGGGCTTCATTATGGAATTTTCATATATATGAATGTGAGTCAAATCAAACCAGTGAATGTTTCCTCTGGGTTCTTTAAAGAAGCTATGAGTGAATAAAGGATAAAGGAATAAAATATCTACACACACACACACATCATCATCCTCCCCCCCCCCCCCATTAGACTTTGATTTATTGGCTTATGTTAAAATCTAGGGTCTGGTCAGGTGCAACTTGATCCTGGTGCTCAAACAATACTGTCTGGAATCTTTTTTCTCTTACATTAGCATCATTCCTAACTCTATCTTATCAATTGCTAACAAAGATTGCCATTAACTGCTACAAGGTTAAATTATGCCAGCTTTAACAGTTGAAAACAACAAACACGAGCAAACAAGAAACCCTTATGTACTCATGACGTCACTAAAGACCCAGAGGACTGAGTCACATGACTGCCTACTAACCAATCAGTGTAGCTACCGGGAAGCAACAGTCTGATTGGCCAGGCCTGTATCATGAGGCCTTCGTTACATCAAAGAAGCTGGGATTACTCTCTATCAAATCTCACCACTAAGAATTACTGAGGATCAGAGGGTGTGGTGGCTCTCACACCTTTAATTCAAGCTCTTTGGAGGTACAGGCAGGTGGATCTCTATGAGTTTGAGGCCAGCCTGGTCTGCAAAGTGAATTCCAAGACAACTGGGGCTATTAAAGAGAGAAATCCTGTCTCCAGAAAAAAAAGAACAGCCACAGCTGTAACCCTCCGGAGCTTTCTAATCATTCTGTCAGCGTGCTGGTGTAGGACCCAGTTGATTGGTGCTAAGAGCCTGTAGGCGGGCACACTGTGCTGAGAACCAATCAGGGAGTGCTTGGCTGGCGCTTCACCAGGAAGCAGGTCCTGGGGATGAAGTATAAGGAGTTACCAGGGCAAGTGAGATGGTCTTAGAAGCATCCGTTGGAGAAGGGAAGGAGTCTGTCACTGGCCAGTTCCACTGCAGGAAGGGAGAGAGGTGTGAGACACAGCCCTGTGTTGTCCTGTTGGAGTGACAAGGGAGCTTCCATCCAACACCTGATGTAACATTAAGGCCCTGGCACTTCCATTTCCCTGATAAGTGGACCAAGAAAGCTACAGTGGCAAAAGATTATGAGTGAGGCTGTGATCCAGTAAAAGAAGGTGCAGGAGTGGCTGGAGCCCACTTCCAGGAGTGAGGGAAGAGCTATGGAACTGGATGGACCAAAAGCCTGACCTCTTTGTCCCTCCACAGGAGTAGGCTACGCTGTGATCCTCATTGCCCTCTATGTTGGCTTTTACTACAACGTCATCATTGCCTGGTCACTCTACTACCTCTTTGCGTCCTTCACCTTGAACCTGCCCTGGACCAACTGTGGCCATGCCTGGAACAGCCCCAACTGCACTGACCCGAAACTCCTCAATGCCTCGGTGCTGGGAGACCATACCAAATACTCCAAATACAAGTTCACGCCGGCTGCGGAGTTTTATGAGTAAGTCACGGGTGCCTCTCCTCACCTCTCCTCCAGGTCTGGGCAGGAGCTAAACCAGGCACTCAGGAAAACCACAGACCAGCCAGGGGCATGGTAGTCAACATTTGAAGGATGCAGGCTTGATGCCAAGTCAAGAACAGAGGAGACGGGAGTATATAGGGGACCCGGTGGAGCATCTACTATAGGACAGGAAAGAGGAGTCTGGGAGCCAGAAAGCCAACATGTGGACAGGAAGCAAGATGTAAAAGGCACTTTGGAGAGAATAATTGCCCTTAAGAACTAAAACTAAGTATGTGGGAGAATGGGGGCTTGTGGGAAGGACGGCTGCTCAGAGAAAGTGGCTGTAGAAACCAACAATATCAGCCAAGAGAACACCCAGAAAGAAGTTAGTTGGTAGATGATGGCTCCGTAGCTGGAATCTACATCTGTCTGGTCTTAAAGCTGTCCTTCCATATACCCCGTGCTGGGAGCTCCCACATGGAGGAAGCAAACCAGTTGTATGCAGCTTGGAGACAGTGTATTTACAGTGTGTGTGTGTGTGTGTGTGTGTGTGTGTGTGTGTGTGCGTGCGTGAGTGTGTGTGTGGTATGGGCTGGTGGAGTGAACAGAACATTGTTAAAAACATATACAACATTTCAGTTGGAGTAATTTCAGAAGTAGAAAAGTTGTAAAAAAAAATAGTACATGGGGCCTTTCCACCCCAGCTTCTAACATTGATATCTTGGGTAGCCGCTTTGTACTAAGGAAATCAGAAAATTAATGTTCACGTTATTAGCTAGTCTACTGAAGACCTCATGTGAATTTCACACTCCTCCACTGATATGTTATAATATTTAGCTGTCACATCTACTTAGTCCCCTCCAATATGGATGAGTTCTTTGAGCTTTCCTTGGGTTTTACGACCTTGACACTTCTAGAGAGTATTGGCCATGTGTCTATGAAATATTTGTCAGGATGGATTTGTTTGTTGTTTCTCACATTCTGATGGAGAGTCTACACCTTCGTCAAGGGCACCAAAAAGGCACAGTGGCGCTTTTCTCAGTGAGCCTTGTCTGGAGAGCATGATGCCAATCTGTCTTGTTACCTGTGATGTCAACCTTGAGTGTGGCAAAGGTGGAAGTTGCCAGCTCCTTCCTGGATCGAGATATTTTTACTTTGGTAATTTTTGCCTTTCAAAGAGGTACTTTAAGGGTATGCAAGGATATTGTTCCTCATACTTTACTCTACAGTGCCTATTATTAATTTTTGTAAGTAAGGATTTCTGTCATAGCATTTAATTGCCCCTTGCTATTCATCATTCCTTCTAGGATAACTGAATAGAGTTCTCCTGTAAATGCCAGCTTTCCCCTTCATGTATTTAACCCAATTTACATACAAAGTCCGAATGGGATCCCAAATATTTATTTTATTTGTGGTTGACTCCTGAGCCATCACTATTCACTCTGTTGGCCTCTTGGTCTTGGCTCTGTTTTCCTAGGTCTTGGTGAAGGGCCTGGCTGCTTTGCTTGCAGTCACCTGATTTAAAGTGTTTGCATGTTTCTGTCCTCAGAGGACAGCCTCAAGTGATCCTTTCTACACAGGTGAGCCTCATTAGAGCGATGCCCTATATACGCTAGTGGTTGAGCACAGAGTCCAGACCACATCGTGGAACTTGACGGGGTAAACCCCACTGCACTCCACCCTCAAGGCTCATGTGATCCATTGCCGAAGCTCCGCACTTTGCTAAATGGAAACACAGATAATATGTTCTAAGGCTTTGGGGTCACTTATGTAGATTTATCTCCCAGATCATATACAAACCCCCCAACAGATGAAAAGGACAGATACCATCAAGCCCAGCTTGATGAGCCATGAGTTTTATTGGGGTTATCTAGAGGGAAATGAGGTGAGGGGTTACCTACTGGAGCGGAAATGACTCAAAGACAGTTGTATCACCAAAGTCCTCCCCAGCATGAGCGACAGCTCACAAAAGTTGGGATCCCAGAGCAGCTCAAGAGGTTGGACAGTGTCCTTTCCCAGCGTCTCTGGTCTAAAGCTTTTCCAGGCCTATCAGCTGGCTTCTGCTTCTTCCAAGCCACTGAACTGGTCTCCGAGTCTGAAGACTTTCTTCTGAGAGTCTTCTTGGCAAGCTCTCAGAGTTTATTGCATACTCTGGCATTGAGTGGCCTAGTTAATCTGGTCAGTTTTAAGGACTTCCGGCAACTGTTTTAAGTTCTTTACCTTTCTGCTTTAATTGGGGAGCTTCCCATGAAGAGGGAACCTGGTTAATACTATCTTTTCATTATGACCACTGGGATCTAAAATGTTGCTTTATCTATGAATGAGGAAATGAGAACGAATCAGCAAATGCCTCATCCCAGGTCCCCAGTTCTGGAGTAGCATTGGAAGGGAGTTTGTCCTCTGCATGGGCCAAGGATCAAGTTCTTAGTGTGGTGAAGTCAAATCCTGGCTACACATTGCAATTACCTGGGGAGTTTTAAAAGTTACTGCTGCCAGGATTTTACCAGCCTGGATACAGCCAGGGCACATGGACTTTGGTGATCTCCCCAGAGCCATCACTGAAAGCTCCTGGATTAGGCACTATAGTTCCCTGTCCTGTGGGGGTCTCATGTCACAGAAAATCTAGGGTCTCCTTCATTCTTCTCTAGAGGAGCATGGGTCCAGACCCCAGAGCTGTAGCAGAGTTTGTGGGTGAAAGTTCTGGGCATTTCTTCACATTTTATGAGTGTGGTTTGGACAGAGAGACAGTGCAAGATGGGGGGGATGGGGCGGTCCTGCTGATCCATGCTTCCCAGCATGCTCCTCTCGCTGAGCAAACAGCATTGTCTTTCTTTAGCTCCTGGCGATCATTGTCCTTATAAATTAAAGTAGTAAATGAAAGCCCCTCATCTTGGTCTGGTTAGTATTTGATTCCTCCCCTCAGTGACCAGCCAGTCTAGTCCCGCTGAGATGCACAGGAGGCAGAGGAGACCTTTTGTTGCAGAGCTAAGTTTCTTCCAAGCCCAGCAGTGGTAGGGTGTAGGGTGGAAGAACATTCTTGTCTAAGGTTACACAGGGGCATGGGGACCTGCAGGAGAGAGCAGATGGTGGGGAGACTGCCGGAAACCTTCAGCTCATCTGTCCCCGGCTCCCACAAGCCCTCCTAGCTACCCTGAACTGTGTTCTGAGCGTTCTTTCATAACCGAATCCTACCGTATTCTCTCCATCTCTGGAGGTGAAAATGAGTTGCATTGTCAAACAGGAAAATAAAGTCCGACTTTAGGCCTGAGACAGAGCTGGGCTCCACTTTCTGCCCCAGGACTCTGGTCTCATAGGTCTGGCTCAGGAGTGCAGGGGCCTTTGTTGGTAGATAGCTTCCCAGAGCACAATATTGACGTGGCTGTCTCTGGATTTTGTATAGTACATGTCCCTGTTATTGAGCATTGAGCTGCTTCTGCTTCTAAGACAGCTCAGCTCTGTCTGGAGAGCCAGCAAATGTGACTCCCAGTGCCAGCCCTGTGGAGGTTGGGTAATTCCTTCTTTTTCCCGGGGCACCCTGGCCAAGTCTGTTGCCATCTTGTACTCATTTAGGCTGACAGACTGAACATATCCTTCAAGGGAACAAAAGTGTTGCTCTTCCCAGGCTCTGGGCCTGAAGCCACATAAGTGTCACTGCGGACAGCCACTAAAGTTCTAGCTTTATCTGTAAAGACACCTTCGGTGACTGTGTCAGGATAGAAAATTTCTACCCATGACACCCCTGGCGAGGACGGGAATTCTCCCTCCTCGCTAATACTAAAAATCTTTCATGCTTAAATGTCAAGAGAGGAATGGAGTCATTTTGGCCCATGGGCTTGGAAAACCTGGATGGTGCCCCCAGTGATGACTCACTTCCATTAAGCTGCCGGAAAAGGAATACAAACCCAAGTTGCTTGTGCCAACCCCATAGCTTAGGAATCTGGCCCTCAGTTCTCTTCTCTATGATCAGCTCTGGAGTCTGGTTCTTCAGATGCATCTGGGGAAGCATGTTCCATGGGAACACTTCAGTCATGTGACTAGGCATTAGGGCATTTTCTCAAGCCTCAGACAAGCAGGGGTGATTCCTTACAGTGTGTGTGTGCACGCACGTGCATTTGTGTGTACGCTAGTGCATGTATATGTGTGACTTTTAAGTCAATTAGCCAAATGACAGTTGATACATTTGACCCAAAAAACTATAAAATGAAGCAGAATTAAGAAGCAAGTGAGGCAATACTACTTATTCTCTTATACTTATTCTACTTCTTTTTGGTCATATTCAGCCATTCTTTCCACTCCATCCTCCCTGCCCCCTTCCCCCCTTTCTTCTCTTCCCTTCTCTCCTCTTTCCCTTCCACCTTTCATCATCTCTCTCTCTGGAAATAATACAGACTATAAGTCACAGAACCACTTCTGGTCTGAAGATAGCAGGACTCAAACATTGGCCAGGCTGACAAATTGGGGTGGAAAATGTTTTCTAGGATGCAGGAACAGAAGGTCCCAAGACCCTCCCCTAGGATCAGGGGAGCATCTCAAGATGCAATTGCCAGGAGCAAAAGGCAGGTGCGGCCGGTGAGGGAGGCATGAACTTGGCAGTGGTACTGAAAGCTCCTTGATAGTGAATGGCTTCTATCTCCCATAGCTAGACTTCACCACTTGACGTGCATAACTTAGGGTAGGACGGTTCTTTCTGGGGAGTGGGGGGTGGGGTAGTCACTGTCCTGTATGTTTGGCAGTGTCCTTGACCTCTGCTCAGTAGACACCAGCACCAGCCCTTCCCCTCCATGTATAGTATACGAGATCCAGACACAGGAAGTAGTTGTTTGTGACGAGGTTAGATCCATGTACGCGTGTGTCATCTCCCAGGAGTAGAGAGTGGATTTAGGAGAGCCTGTGTGACGCAGAGAGACCAGGATTGAGGGAACTACGCATATTCAATAGTCTGGAAGGGAGAGAATAAGGGGCCTGGTATGGGACAGGTTAGTGAGAACCAGAGTCAGGACTAGGAAGGGCCAGATACAGGGACTGTTGCAGGAGGGTGTGAGACATGGTGAGTTGTATGAAGCCAAAACAGGTGACCTGGGGATCCCAGAGACTGGCTAGTTGGGGGTAATGTCGGTCTTTGTGGGTCTCGGTCACTTACACAGCTTCCTTCCTTTGTTTCTCAAATGCTCGTGTCTTCGTCTGCCACCTCTGCACCTGAATACCTGCTGCCAGCTCACCTTGCACTCCACTGGCTCCTAACAGTGTTGTCAGAAGAGCCTGGTCTGCTCACACCCTGTGGAGCCTTGGGAACGCTCCTCAGCTTTCTTTGCAGCCTAGCCCCAGATGCAGGGACGGCTATGGCTGCTCTTTGTGGAACATTTCCTGGGCCCAAGTATGGCTCACATTCTACAGTTGAATCCTCATGCGAGCCATCTGCTAAAGAGGGAGAAATCTCAGAGAAAGAGATAGATAGATAGATAGATAGATAGATAGATAGATAGAAAGAGAGAGAGAGATACTTACCAGAGCCTATTTGCATTGCTCCTATCCCGGGATGGAGCTTCACGAATGCTCTCATTACCAGCGCCTAACACACAGCCTAGATCAAAGCAGAGCTACAGAGAACTTGGGGCTAGGCATGGGATCAGGTCAAACAAGATCAGGAGAGTCCGGACAACTTCTGTGCCACATTCTTCTACTTCCTTTCATGTTCTTCAAATACTAGACACCTGGTACGAATGAAAGAATTACTGACTGAGTGAACGCAGCACACAGCATTGTGTGGTCTTCTCACCTTCACAGGCCACTCACAGGTGTTAACTCCTCAGGGGCAGGCTGGAGGATCTCCAGGCTGGGAGCAGACACTCTCATCGGCACCCAATTGGATTTTTTGAGCTGGTCCAGTAAAGGTGGTTCAACTCCCCATTACTGTTACCTGTGTCTTCCACTAAGCACCCAGGCTTCCAGGAGAGTTACAAGCCCACTTTCCCTTCCTCAAGTACGGAAAGCCAATTGTATTTTGCCAAGAGAGTACACAGTTTCTGGAAGGTTCAGTTGGTCTAGCAGAAGTCTGTCATTTGGATAGGCCTCTGACTCAGTAGGTTCAATCTCCAGCTGCCAATCAAAGTACCAACTCCCAGAGGTTCTGACTTAATTGGTTAAGAGTGAATAGAGAGCAGCAATCTCTTTATGATATAAAACATCCTTTAAAAGATTATTTTTGTCTGTTCTAGTGACTCACGGGAGACCAAAGCAGGAAGGTTGCCATGGGTTCCAGGCCAGCCTGGGCTACATAGTGAAACAGAATATCTAACAAACACAACAAAGAGAAAGGTTTATCTTGACCTTAGACAATTAATACTAATGTGTGAATTGAGAATCCTGTTCCCGACGGGGAAACGTGCTCAGAGATGGGGCTGCATGCACAGCTGGTGCTTCTGGCTGGTTCTGAATTATATTCAAATTAAAACAAATTAAAACCCGTATTTCATAATTCTCTTTAAGTGGAGGTGGAAGAAGAGAAAGAAAACTGGGGGGGGGGGAAGAAGGATGAGAAAAGATTGGGGGGATGTAGAGGAGGAGGGGCAGGTAAGGCAGATATACATGTATACTTAAATATTAGATACATAGATAAATAGTTACAAATATTAGACAATTAACTATCTTTCAATCAAAGATGTTTAAGTTTTTGTCATCAGTGTGTCCTTTGGAATTAGTGTTTTATTCTTTTATTCTAAGGAAGGATAATGTGTGGACCTGCTGCTGGCTCATATCACTTCAATATTATTTATAACCAGCTTCTCTCAAAACGGAACACAGATATTTGCAGAATGACACACAGGGAAGTGAAGACCCTCTGTGGGGAAACGGGAGGTTGCAGTACAAAGGATCCAGAGAGCTGGGACTTTACCCCAAGTTGAAGGAGGACTTAAGGAGAAGCAAAACCATGTTAGGGACTCACCTTTTTCTCCCTAGCTCTCCCTGGAGTGGTTCTGGGTTCTCATTTTCTGTTAAGGAGAAGCTATACTGTTGGGTTTAGCTATAAGAGCTGAGGATATTTGTCTGTTTTGAACCTAAGCTGCCAGGTCTGGGCTGAGCCCTAATGATCCAGGAGTGATTTATCTGCCTCTCCTTCCCAGAAGACCTTTGTGCAGTGAACCTCTGTATCACACCGTAAGAGATGTGTCTATTCTGAACAGGTACAGACAGAAGTTTGTGGCTTGCCATTATCTCTGCAGTGATACAGAACAATACTTGTACGGAGACTGGGTTGTTAAAGTAATCTAAAGATGATCTAGAATATACAGAGGGACTGTGTAAGAAATATCCAACACAATGCCATTTTTATCTAAGGGCCTTGAGCAGTCCCAGATTTCAGTATCCATAAAAGGTCGTGCAATCAATTCCCCAGGGACAGCTATGCAGACAGCCTGGGTGTCTCTAGTAGACACTCTTCTGGCTAATGAGTCAGCCATGGGAACTACAAGGGTTAAATATTTATGACAAGGGTTACTGGTGAACCCTTCTGGAGGAAGCGACATTGGAGCAGACTATAGCAGCTGCCAGTCCACTATGGCCTTTGAGTGTGGCCTCAAAGGCAGGTAGATGGGGTCCATCTGGGGGGCCTCCTGCAGCTTCCTGACTACTCACAACATATGCCCCTCTTTTTTTGTGATTTCATACGTAAGGCTCCTACCCATGTTGGCAATAACTCTACCAAGGCCAGGACTGTATGTTTGCAGTAGCTTCCCAAGTTTGTCTAGGGCCCAGATGAGCTAATCTGTAGTCAACCTTTCAAGAGGAAATGCTAACATAAGTGCGGTCAAAGGCCCCACTAAGGTACCCCCAGTCCTCTTTGCTTGACTTCCTAGGATGTGGACTTGTTGGTGAACCTCTGCACCCTGTGGTACACCCCAGTTCCTGGGACCTGATCTACCATTTTATCCATTTGTCTTAATTGACCATATCACTGAGTGGCTTTGGGTTCTAAATTAGCAAGTAGTCATTTTGCTGATTGCTCTGCTTTTCATTCCCTCACTGTCCATGGTATGTGGGGATCTCGATGGCCTCAGAATGCTTATTCTTTGTTTTCAATTGCTTAAAAAAATGCGTTTTATTGAAGAATAACCTAGCACAAAGAAATGCATATCCCAGAGGACCAGCTCAGTGACTGTCACAAACTGAATGTAGCCGTGTGACCAGCACACAGCCCAGCAAGCAGGGTCCCTAGAAGTGCCCACAGATCCCTCCTTAGTTGGCAACCATCACTTCCAACCAGAGTGACTTCTAACCATCTAGATTAATTTTCCATGTTTCACAGAACTTCATATGATTGGAGACAGACAGAAAATGCGCATTTGATTGTCTGACATTGCCATAAGGTGTGAAAGGTTTGTCTCCATGGCTACAGATGCTGCATAGTATTCCATGCTCTGTCTATTCCACCAATGGCAGGTTTTTGGTTGTTTTGTGTGTATGAACACTAATTCTACTAACAGTGGTTTTTACCACTTAGGGGTTGCTGTGTGTGTGAACACTGTTCTTTCTTTTATCGAGAACTGCTAGTTTAGAAAGGGAACTCTGGAAAACAGGGGCTTTCCCTAATCCTGGGACCAGTAAGTGGTGCTTCAGCAGGCCATCCTGGGTGCAGGCCTTAGCTGCTCAGAACTGGCCCACGCAACAGCTCTAGAGTTTGGGGAAGTGGCGGTTCCTGTCACCATCCCTAGGCACTTGGTCATCCTCCCTGACGCTGTCCTCTTTCCTGTCTACAGGCGTGGTGTCCTTCACCTGCATGAGAGCAGTGGGATCCATGACATCGGCCTGCCCCAGTGGCAGCTGCTGCTCTGTCTGATGGTTGTTATCGTCGTCTTGTATTTCAGCCTCTGGAAGGGCGTGAAGACGTCGGGAAAGGTGAAGTCTCTCTGCTTCTTCAGCTGGGAAGTTGGCCTTGGAAATATACATGTCTGATTTTGTGTTCTCCGAGCTGCAACCATGTGGTTGGCGCAAATAGGGGGATCTAGGACCACAAGTTAGGGCATACCCTCAGCTCTGCCACTATGTGGACAAATCTGCTACCTAAACCTGACTCTGCCAAGCAGCAAGGTAAAGGGGTGTAAGTAGATCAGACCTCCTCATATTTTCCCTTGAAAGCTTCTATAATAGCAGTGACCGGGGGCTTGGAGCATCACCTAAAGTCTGAGACCAAGGCTAAAGATCTTGACCTTGCATATAAGCATCGCATCCCACTCGGGAAATTGAGAATTTGCTTTATTATAAAATCAATAAACCCATGCTGAATTTTTTGAAGAAAAATGTTTTGAAAGGTAATTAGATGTGTGTTTTGGTTCTAACTGTAGTTGGGCACCCCCAAGTATCTAGATACTTTGGAGAAGAACACAGGTTAGCTAGATAGTGAGGACAGCATTTTGAACTTGGATGATGCTGCCTCCTGTGGTCAGCTCTAAGGGATGGCGTATATTTAGGGAATGGCGTGTATTTAGGGAATGGCTCCAATTGATCCTCAGCTTGGGAAGAAACTTGAAGATAACAACCCTACTGGGACTCCATGTGGTCTAGAACTTGGCTGTAATTAAAAACAACAAAGTTAGGAGGTGTCCTTTCTAGTGTTTTATTTAGGTAGGGCATTGGAACAAGCCACACCAAAATACAGTGAGCTAAAATAGTAAATATTTTATCATGTCTCACAGTTCTAGGAGTTGACTGGCTCAGGTAGATGGTTCTTCTTCTCTGTGTAATGTTACCTGGGCCATGTCTGGAGACTTGACTGGGACATCCTGGTGGCTGGGCCTGGCTAGGAGCTGGAGTCAGAGCTGTCAGTCAGGTCAGAGGGTTCGGGATCATTTCCATGTAGATTTTCTGTTGTTTCCTGGACCTTTCACATTATGACAACTGACTTCCCAGACACTCTCCAAGCAGGAGAGACCCCCACGTGCAGTAGCTCTTCCAGTCTCTGCATGAATCCTGCATGCTCTTTGTCCCAGTGACAAAACCAGTCTAGGATCACTATCGTCCTGATGGGTGGCACATAGTAGGTCTCTGGTAAATGCTTAGAAATAGGTTGAAGGATGGGTGGGTAAGTTTAGGGGACTTTATTAAGCTCGACTTATTGAGCCTTTATGGGCACCTACTATGTGCTATCCTAGATGCCAGGAGTAGCAGCACACAGATAGAAGACAGATTATTTTCTTAGTGGCTTTCATCAGTTTGTGTTCCTGATGGACTTGGGGTCAGCAGAGGTGTCTAGTATTTTCAGTCTCTATCCAAAGGTATCTGTGCGCAGCCTCCTTCAAATAAACACCTCTCATCACGAACTGCATTTAGATTATTGTTAATTTTATCTTAGAATAATTTCATATTCGGTAGCCCAGTTGTATCTTGATAAAAATGTAAACTGTTATTAAGCCAGCTTATTAGGTAGCCATATTTGACAGACAGATGTAGCCGCGTGTATGTTTGCCTGTACTTTGACGAGGCGGGTAGTAGTTTTCCTACCAGGCACCATGTCTAAGATGCCACATTGGTGGACAACGGATGCTTTTCTCAGCCAAGAAAGTCTGCAAAGCCATGGGGAATGTGATATTTGTGCTGCACCTGTTAGGATAGGCATGGGTGGAAGTGAGGAGGAAGGAGACATTTCTCACCAGAAGAAATGGTGTGAGCAAAGTCACCAAGGTGTGGAAGCCCTAGACAAGCCCTGCTTGGGGTTCTCTGTGTGCACCTGGTACCAGGAACAGGCCTCACAGCCCATCCAGAGAGTTGCAGAAGATGGCTGTGGGGAGGGGGGGTGGCATTAGAATTCTAACACAGCAACCCAAGCTGATTCCTCAAGGTCATGAGCAGACCATAAGCTGCCAGGAAGGAGACAGCAGGAGAAGGAATGGCTGAGCATTTTCAGTTCCTTTGGCCAAAGGCACTTTCTGAGGTGAGGAGGAATGTTTCCCCAGGAAAGCACCCTCCATGTGGAAACATGTGTGAGAGGCTCTGCAGGGTCAGCTGAAGCCAGGGTCCATTTGTCTACGTCCCCCGGAGTGCAGAAGTTGGAGTACACAGAAGCCCCAGGTGGTCCTCCGCGGAGGGTATTTCTGGACTTGGCCTCACTCAGGACATTCCAGTGACAGTAGCTTTAATTGTCTTTGTAAACTGACTGACAAGGACTCCGAGAGCATTGCTATGTCTTTCCAGAGCAGCACACTAGCTTTCCTTAGCTCGCCTCTGAGGGGCCTGGGATAAGGCAAACGTACAAGTGGCAAAGGCTTGGAAAGATACCGACTGCTTGGCTCTTGGGAGGGTGGGAGCCTAGTCCGAACCAGGGGAAGGGGATACCCCAAACCACACACTCAGTGACAGCTGTGTCGGCCCAGGGAGTGCCTCAGAATAGAAGGAAGTCAGAGGGAGTCAGAAGCAGGGCTCACCTCTTCCTCTCCTGAGTTCCTGCCCAATCTGTTTGCACACTGCCCTGAGGTTGAGACACTTCAGAGGCCTCTCTCTCTTCCAGGGACATGAGATGAGATGGCAGAGCTGTCCAGGGCCAGCCAGTCATTACCCACCTCACTGCTGGCCTTTGGGCTGATTGGACGGTGGGAATATACAGACTGTGTCCTGAATTCTAGCAAGAGGTGGTGGAGTTGGGAAGAGAGAGAAAGCCCGAAAAATTTAGGGGTTGAGTTTTAGAATATTTAATAGATGAAAAGCTTTTTTGTTTGCATTTTCATTTAGAGTCAAGTCCTACTTCTAGGCTTCTTCCCACTACTATGTCAATAGACAGGCGGGTCTGGCTTACCTTCATGTCTTTACTAAGTCATGAACTGAGTGACTCAGGACAGAGTCATTTGCATATGATCCAGGCTTACACCAAACTATGTGTAGTGTGCTGTTTTATTAAGCAACATTAGTGTTATGCCATATCCTATACCTTCTTCTGTATAGGAAAATGATCTTGGAACTCAGTTCAAAGACCACAAATCCTAAATCTAGGAAATTTCACAGAGATACAGTGTGGATATTTACTTTATAATTTAATCCTTTTTTGTGTGCACATGTGTGTTTATATGTGTATGGAGTGCACATATGTATTTGGGTGTGTGTGTCCATGTGCAGGCCAGAGGGAAGACTACAGATTGTCATTCCTGTGCACTGTTTGTTGTTGTTGTTGTTGTTACTATTTGTTTGTTTAAGAGAGGGTTTCTCACTGACCTGCAATTGTCAAGTAGGCTAGGCTAGCTTGACCACAAACTGTAGGGAGTTTCCTCCCAGCAGTGTGGGTCCAGGGACATGCTGAGGTACCATTACTGAAAGTATGTAAGCCTTGCTATGTGTTCAGACATCAGGCCAAGAGCGTTCTTGTTCAAGGTGAGGTCCATGGGCTATTAGCATTAATGTTACCCAGAAACTCATCAAAAATGGGAGCTCTTGCCCCACCCACACCAAAATAGAATCTCTTTAGGAAGGACCAGAAATCTTGAGCTTTACTATGGTGCCTCTCTGGGTACTCTTAGACCTGCAGTTGGAGAAGCTCTGTGGGTGTTATTCTCCAACACTGAGAATATAAATAACCACATCATGGGGAGGAAGCTCTACCATATGAGGGTCTTCCTTTTATGAGCCACGGTTGTCTTTATTTTTATGCTCAGCCATTGGTTTGGAATTTGTTACTGTAGAACTTTATAAATTATCCACAGACGCATCCAAGGGGGTAAGAATTTATGTTTAAGCGTGGACAAGGTGGAACATGCCTTTTAACCCCAGCATTCAGGGAACAGAGTCTGAGGTCAACCTGATCTATTACAGCAGGTTAGCCAGGGCTACCTAGTGAGACTCTGCCTCAAAACAAAAACAAAACAAAAAGCAAAAATAGTAACAGCAGCAGCAGCAACAACAACAACAACAAAAACCCCAAACCAAAAGCTATGCTTTAAGTGACAGAACAAAGAAAAAAGCGTTGCTCATTTTGTTCTTTATCTCAAGTTTAAAATGAGGCCTGGGATGGAGATGACAGAGTTCAAAGGGCTCGTCCTTTTTAGGGGCACAGGGGCACACATGGGTGCGAGGGAGCTGTCCTCCAGCTTTTGAAAAAGGTTCCAGATGGCTGAAAATGCGTTCGCCTCCAAAAGCTTTAACTCTGAATGTAAGGTCAAGGGGAAAAAGCAGCTCTTTCTTAATGCTTGACGCCCTCACAGTGGGCTCCATCATACCCTGATGCCTTCTTTGGGTAAACCAAATCCATGTGGAGCCTCACTCATGGCCAGTGCAGGACCACCTCCGCGCCCCATGGGAGACTTCTTGGAGTCAGAACATTGGGTGCTGTTTCCACAGGAGGAGTGTGGTCACACCCAGCCTGTAGGGTAGGACGACAGTGTAGCTGGGCCACAGCTGTTGACAAGAGTCGTAGGAGACTGTTAGAACCAGGATGGATGACGACTCTTCTTTGTTCCAACTGCCAAGGGTTGAGATCCGTTTGTCCCAGCTGGACAGACTGAGTCATCTGAGACCAATGCGAGGCCACCCAGATGCGGCGGCTTCGTGTTCAAGGGCATGTTTCTCTCCCCGTTTGTTATCAAGTGTGAGCTCTGTATTTCTGCATCCACAGCCTCTCAAGGAAGACAGAAGCCAAAGCCCATATTCTAGGACATTTATAGAACTGGGGAGCAACTACCTGGATGGTATCAAACAGGGGAACCTTCTCTGGTTCCCTCTGGAGCAGATGTGCCCACCAGTGATGGGTTTCCTCACCCATTCATTTTCTCTTACTTTCATTCTTTCTTTGACTGACTCTGTTGTTCACTAACCCTCTGGCTTGTAACTCACCTGCTTTTGAGTCCATCCATCTCTCCACTCAACCATCTGCCCACTTAGCTACCCATCCTTTCATTTAACCAAAAAAAATAAATAAATAAAAACCTAGCTCTATATCCAACCATTCATTCCTTTTTTTTTTTTTCCGAGACAGGATTTCACTGTATCCCTGACTGTCCTGGAACTCGCTCTGTAGACCAGGCTGGCCTCGAACTCACAGAGATCCACCTGCCTCTGCCTCCCGAGTGCTAGGATTAAAGGTGTGCGTCACCACCGCCTGGCTCATTCCATCTTTTACCTCAATCTTTCATCCTTTCATCTATATGACAGTTCATTCATTCACCTACCAAATATTTTAAGGACCCATACAGACCAGGAATAAGGGAATAAGGGAGATCAATTCCAGTTTCTTAACACAGGTGTGAAAAATGGGTGAGTTTGTCACCAATATATCAGTCTTTGCTTTGAGCCCATGTCTTTCTAGGCTGACAAAGAGCGTTACCCCCAGTCATGTCTTCAGTCTTCCATGTTCTCTCTGGGGTCGTGTATGGACCCTTTAGGGGGCAGAGTGCTTGAGCTGTAAGGGGAACCCACCTGGTCCTTAAGCTATGTATTCGCTCATGCTCTAGCAGTGCCTTCCTTGGCTCTGACTACCTAGCCCTGGCTCACTGTTCTGTTTTGGGCCCAACTCCTCTGCCTAGAAAATGCTACAGCCCGCAGCTGCATCAAGAATGAAGACATTTAACCCTGGCTACACTTTAACATCAACCGAGAAAAAATACTAGAGTTGAGGCTGTACCTTAGGTCATTTGAACCAGAAATCCCAAGACTGGGACCTCTCTTCCACATTCTTGTATATAGTTTCCCTGGAGTACTGCAGTGTATAGCCAAGAGCACGAAGGATCAGAGAAGATGGCAAGCCTCCTAGTCACCTCTTTCTCTGTCCCTCCAAGCTAGGCAGGGATATCTGTTCTGATTCTAAAGGTAATCTCTTTCCTTTGTGTTTCTGCAAAGAGAGTTTGTCTTGTTCTCCATCTGCTCCTACTGAGATGGAGATTTTTTTTTCTGTTTTCTGTCCAGTGATATATACCACACACTTGAGAGAATGCACCTAAATGTGGATAAAGAAAAAAGAAGCTAAGTGTTTTGCACACGTCTCTAATTTCAGCACTTGGTAGACTGAGACAGGAGGATCATGAGTTTGAGGGATTGTGGGCTACAAGTGAGCCAGTGTCACATAAAATCAAAGTTATATCTCTGTGGGGTTGTGCTTGCTTGATGTATGAAAGGCTCTGGGTTCTATCTTCTACGCTGAAAGAAATAAAAGCACATATACCAAAAAGAGAAAATGTTAAAGAGGAAGGAGAGATAGCAAAAGAAGGACAGGAAAATGGAGAGAGAAAAGAGGGAGAAAGACTGGAAATTTTAAATAGCTTGCCTGTAAAGTTGAGAGCAACAACCAATCCCTCTAGTGTGACGGAAGCATGACTGACCTCCAGGGGAAGGGCGAGTGTGCTCAGTTCTGTACGAAGTAGACTAAAGAGGTCAGGAAAGACAGTTGTGGAAGAGGCATCAGGGGCTTTGAGAACCTAGTTCTTGCCCTTGGTGATTGTCTTTTCTGTCTGAGTCCTATTTTCTAAGTGACTGACAATGAGTTTTGAACTTTTTCAGGGAGCCCTGCATCTGTTCATTGTTCTGTCCCCGTGGTCTGACCAAGGGACTGGCCCTGAGATGAAGATGGTGCCTCATACGCTAGGAGAAGGAAGCTGAGGGAGGGCATGTTTGGCCTCTGGGAAAAGACCCTGTGTCATGGCCTTAGTACATCCCCAGGTCACAGGCAGAGTGAGAGTCTCACAGCTGTTTTTCTGTTGTTCAGGTTGTGTGGATCACAGCTACCCTGCCTTACTTTGTGCTATTTGTGCTCCTGGTCCATGGTGTCACACTGCCTGGTGCCTCCAATGGTATCAATGCCTACCTGCACATCGACTTCTACCGCCTCAAAGAGGCCACGGTGAGTGCCCAGTGGTCACCTAGCATCGGGCTGGGTGGAGGGAGGCTTCTTATGGGCACATGGTGATGGGTGCAGTAACAGGATTAAGAGGGGGTACATTTCAGTATGTTTCTTTCTTAGACGAGTGTCCAGCCTACCACTATGCTATAGAGCAAAGACCAAGAAGCAACCTCTTTCTTGTGTAACTCAGAGAAAGAGGAACGTTGTGAAGCAGAACCGGCTTCCATGTGTTCTGCACCGGTCAAGCTGCTCTCAGTCACTCAGATATGTAGATACTGAGTCTTTAGTGTCATTTCAGTGAGTGGTACTGCCTTCCCCCAGTGTAATGGAAGGTTTGGGAAATCCAGAAGAATACAAGGAGAAATGTGGCAGGCAGCATCACTCTCAAATACCTTAGTTTAGGTCCACTGGATATCACATACATACAAAGACATACATATACACACATGCATGTACATACATATAATGTACACACATTTAATATAATATACATATGTATATATAATACATACATATTAAATAATATACATATGTGTATATATATATGTGTATATGTGTGTGTGTATGTACGGCTAGCATGGATGCTGGAGAAGCGAGACTGACTAGGGCTAAACCATGACACAGAGTTTGGAGAAGGGCTCCAATCTTTAGTCCACCAGCTATATATACTTTTGTCACCAGGGAGAGGGGACTGGAAAGGAAACTCCGTTGTCTTCAAAGGCCCCCATTGGTGTGGTTACCAGTGTCTGCAGCTTGAAGTGTAGGAAAAATCCTTATCTTCTCAAGATGTCATCTTCATAACTCCTGAGATGACCAGGACCCTTTGGTCTTGCCCTGACAGCCTAGAATTTGTAGTTTATCAACTTTCTTGAAAATCTGGATGTTAAATGGCTTCACTGGTCTGCCCCAGGACGTGATTGCTCTGTTACCCAAGGCCAGGAGATGCTAGGGAGATTCCGGCCCGTTATTGTACAGCCCATGTCTGCTTCAGACCACATTTGCTAGTCTCTGGCACTCTCAGGGAGTCAGTGCCCTTCTTCGGAAGCAGGGATGGCGATGACTTTGTGCTCACTGGTTTCAGGTATGGATTGATGCCGCAACTCAGATATTTTTTTCCTTGGGGGCTGGATTTGGAGTCTTGATTGCATTTGCCAGTTACAATAAATTTGACAACAACTGTTACAGGTAAGCCCCCTTTTAGAGCTCGCCAATGCTTTGAATCCCGGGGTTGGTCCTTAGAGGAATGGAGAGAGGGCTTTATCTAGACAGGAAACCACCTCTCCTCTGTGGAGCATCCTGGTCATTCTGGGAACCTCAAAGTGATCAGTCTATGGGGTCCGAGGAGCATATTTCACTAGATGACATCTCTTGGGAAAGTTGAGGCCAGCAGCTATGGGAGCCTATGGGGAGGATTACTGGGACAGAGGACCATGACATGGCTTCCAGAGAAGATGGAGCTGCCTGACTCTGTCCGTTAGGTACTCTGTGAGGCAGGGACAGAATGAACAGGCTGGTGAAGGCTGGCTGGGTCAGAAGTTAGATGTCAGGGCAGATAGGGCACAGAAGAGACCACCTCCAGTTTGGATCAGTGAGCACTGAATGCCACCTCCTGCAGGACCTCAGAGGTGGGACAGATTTGGGCTCTCCTCTCTCACCCTCTTTAACAATCAAGGTAGAATCACTTTCTTTGAGTCAAGAAAGAACAGGATGGGTGTGCCACCAGGAGAGATTTTAGAGAGGTCAGGAAGTGGGATGGCCATCCCCTTAGTAGGGTGCTGCCATTAAGAGTCTGGAGGTGAACTTGAGGCAAGCCGGGGAGGACAGTTGAGATTATGGTAGGCAGGTATGGTACAGATGGCCTGTGTCCTAAGGCGTGGCATGGACAAAGACAGAGAGGCTGTGTGTCAGAGGATCAGCGAATTGTTTGTTTTATTGTTCCAAGAGTATATACTGGAAGTCATGATAAATAAGCCAAGAAGGAAGGGTGGATCATCTTAGCAACGCTCTGAAATGACAACACAAGGAGCTAGGAGTCAGAGTAAGCCGCGGGGAGTTTACTTAAGGGGAGAAGAACTCTAAGCCCCAAGAGTCTACCCGTGCCTGTGGTTGGCTCTTGGCTTCCACACTGCTGTAGCAGGCACTAACCTAGTGGTGGTGAGGCACTGGGGTCCATGTGACAGCAGGGCAATGGAAAGAAGGGGTGGCCTTTGAGACTGGGTGTGACTGAAGATTCCATAGGTGGCCAGCGGTTCGTGAGCAGAGTGGGGGTGGAGTCAGGGGGACCTGCATTGCCAATAGCAGCCTCTCTCTCTCTCTGCCAGGGATGCCCTGCTGACCAGCACCATCAACTGTGTTACCAGTTTTATTTCCGGGTTTGCCATCTTCTCCATCCTTGGTTACATGGCCCATGAACATAAGGTCAAGATTGAGGATGTTGCCACTGAAGGTAGGTGGCCAGACCCCTTGTCTCCAGCTAAAGAAAAACGGACCAAGTTAAATCCTAGTGCCTCTAAGGTTGGAGGCCCGTGAGGGCTGGCGGTGGAGGTTTTTGGATGTCCATCTGTTGGGCTTTCCCTTGAGGCTATCATGAGCATTCCTGACAACTGTGGCCCCTAAGTATATAACAAAACTTTCCTCTTAACAGCCTAAGAGGAGCAGATTTTGGGCTGCCCCTTCTGCACCAGTCTCTGAGCTAATTAACTAATAACCAGTACCAAATCTGTTTCAGTCCTTAAGTCCTCATAGTGCTGGGTTTGCGGGAGGCAGCATGAAATGCTCATACTGGGCAATTTATGCACAAAAGATCTTTAGTTGGCTTACCCCTCTGGAAGCCCAGAGCGTGGAGATTGGTTGTCCAGTAGACTTCTAGTGCAGGTCATACACTGTTCATCTTATTATAGAGAAGACGAAGTAGAAATGCCTGTGTGTCAAAAGAACCACGCTTGTAGGACAGCCTTGATTTATAACAACCCTCTCCATGAGATTCCCCAACTCTTAGAGAGGAAGACCTGTTGGAAAATGGGTTAGTCTCACTAACATCCAACTGTAGCTTCAAGGTTCTTAGCCTCTTCACAGTACTATATAGGGGAGCAAGCCTGAGCATGCATTTCAGTGGGGCAAACTATGTTCCAGACATCCCAGCGTACCTCCACTGAGCTCTCACAAAGCTGCAAGGCAAGGGTCAGGAGATTCTCTTTGAAGATGAGTGATTTGGGATTTAAGTTCAGTATGGGCTACTGAGCAGTGGCGTCAGCATTTGGCCCTTGTCAGAATCTCTGGCCTTCTCTATGGCCTTCTGTGTTCTTCAGGCTGCAGGGAGGTTGAGACAGGGGAAGGACAGCCTTGGATGGACTCTGAGGATCATGAGTTTCTGTAAATCAGAGGAGAATCCCACAGAGTAGAAAGTGGGTTTATCACACGTGGCTCATAGCTGTTGAGGCAAGCTTCTGCTCTCTCTGCCTGGTTGTTCCATGCACAGGCTGTGTTCATCTGCTTTGTATCACTATGGACAAAACACACAAGCGAACTGACTTATGCAGAGGATGGGGTTTGTTGACTTGCAGTTTTGTGACGACTTAGTATTCTTGCTTTGGGGCCTGTGTTGGGCCCACATAGTGGAACAACCTATTCACCTAATGGCCAAGGCGCAAAAGGGATAGAGAGAAGAGGAGCTTGGGTCTCCACATCTCCTACAAAGGGGTCTTCTCAATAAATGGAAGACTACATTGTCTTGAAGTTCCCACGACTTGGAAACTGCACCAAATGGGAATCAAGGCTTCGACACAGGGCCTCTTGGGGGACATTACAGATCTCAACAATAGCACAATAATGCTGTGGCTCCATCTCCTGTAAGCAGTTCCTGAGTCTGCTGCCCACACATGCCTGACCAAGGGTCCTGAGGCTGCCTGGGGCTCCCCTGCCCTGTGCAGCCCCAACTGAACATCCATCACTGATCAGGCCCTAATATTTCTTACAGGAGCTGGCCTTGTGTTTGTCCTGTATCCAGAAGCCATCTCCACTCTGTCAGGATCCACGTTCTGGGCTGTCCTGTTCTTCTTGATGCTTCTGGCTCTGGGTCTGGACAGCTCAGTGAGTTCACCTCTCAGAACACCCTTCTCCACCACTGTAATCCATACCAGTCCTCAGCTTGTGGGGCTACTGCGGTCTGGGGTCTGTTTCCAAGGGTCCTATTTTAATCCGGACAATGAAGTGAGCCTTCCTTCAAAATGATAGCCTAGGTCAAAGCCAGAAACCTACAGGAACTCTGGTTGTACTGGGCCTCAGACAAGCCAGTCTAACACTCTGCTTCTGTGGACGGGGAGCCAGAAGTCAGAAAGGACATGAATTGAATGTTCTGTGACCTAGAGCTCTCCCATTCATTATATTTTATTACTGACATCCAACCCAAACATTTCGGACCCAATTATTACTAGATTCCTGGTTTTTTTATTATTATTTAGTTATGTGCAAAATTAAGTTCCTGCCATCTTTTTGTGTCTGCTTCTACCCCTTTTTCTCCCATGCTAGGGGAGGGGCTGGCCAGGCCAGCAGATCTGGCTGTCTTTGGGTTTACTTGATGGGTCTGCCAGAGCAGTGTGGTGGAGAGTTCTGAGGCCGATTCCAGACCCCGGATTGAGGTTGATTAACAATGTCTGCCAAGAGCAGTGGAGAGGAGCAAGGGACATGTGTGGTTATCATCTGTCACAGCCGTGGCTCATGAGGCATAGACTCAGAGTCCTTACTTAAAGTGACCACGTTGCTTGGTGTTTAGAAAAGCGGTAAGGATGGGAGAGTGTAGAAGGGGAGGGGAGGGGAGAAAACTATGTAGCTCAATAAAAACAATAATAAAAAAAAAGGCGGTAAGGAATCCTTGTCATATACTGTGGTATGAAACTCCCATTCTGGAGAAGTTCAAGGTCTGGAAACCTTGTTTCCAGAAGGTTTTATTTGCACGTAAATGTATCATCTGGGCAATATATCCATCCCTTGGTTCTCTATGTCTCATCAGTATCCACTCAGGCTGAGTGAGTCAGGGGCTAGGGACCCATTGTAGAAGCAGGCAAGAGTTAACTCATCCCATATAACTTGAGCATGGTTGAGATTGGGGCAGAAAAGAGGGAAAGGATGCTTGGGGGGGAGGAAGGCAAGGCCTGCCAGTTTCCGGAGAGCCTGATGTATCCGAGGCTGATCCCGACCTATAGGAAGCCTTTCACTCCTGCCCCTCCCTCCTGGTTCTCCACAGATGGGAGGCATGGAAGCAGTCATCACAGGGCTGGCGGACGACTTCCAGGTCCTGAAGCGACACCGGAAACTCTTCACCTTTGGTGTCACCATAGGTACCTTCCTTCTGGCCATGTTTTGCATAACCAAGGTGAGTCTGGGCGTGGGGCCATCTGGGTCTTTCTATGTCCTCAGCTTTGTTACTGGGCTGGGCTGGGTGGGGGCTGAGCACAGGGGTTATACTATCCTGAACCGTGTGTTTTAACACGGTTGCCTCCCGCTACATCTGGGGCTGATGGCTTCCAGGCACTCTTATTTACTACGGATTGACCTGGGGCCTGCAAAAGTCCCCTGGAAGCTTACTGTGCTGTTTATCAGTCATGAGTCTTTAAGCCAGCAGCTCCTAGAGCCCTTAGTTAGAATGCAAACCCATTTAGTCACAGCCCTGACACCCGTGTTTGTAAGCGGGCTCTGAGCATGTGGGAATGGGGACAGGTAGGATTTATGAGCTAGGAAGGACAGTCGGTGATTGTTTATAACAGGAATGGCTCAAGCCCTTTCTCTCTGTGCCCCAGGGAGGGATTTATGTCCTGACTCTGCTGGATACCTTCGCGGCAGGCACCTCCATTCTGTTTGCTGTGCTTATGGAAGCTATCGGAGTTTCCTGGTTTTATGGTAAGTGAGGATGTCCCAAGCCTTTGTCCTCAGAGCTTCTGGAGTCTGTCTACCTGGAGAAGGAAAAGGGCTTTTCATGTCCAGGACAGACACCCAGATCTCCAGAAGGGAGCAGCTCATGTAATAGGTATTAAGTCTCTTCAGTCCTTAGCTCGCTGGGGCTGCAAGGCATGGGAGAGAGCCGGGGCCAGCCTCTGAAAGAGAACCAGTCATGATCTGCAGACCACTGTCACCAAGCCTGACAGTGCAGTTATCAGGCTGAGCAAACAAAACAGGATGCCCAGTTAGTTAACCTTGAACTTCAGATAAATGATGAACGCACGTTTTTAGATCAGCATGACCCAAATACTGCATAGAATCTCCGGATACTGATTTTTTTCATTACGGGTCTGAAATTCAAACTTAAATAGATTCTCTGTATTTTGTTCCCTGAACTCTTCGGGAGCTGGACTGTGACATCAATTGTCAAATGTGTCACAATTGTTCACTTCCCCTTATGTGACAGTAGGAGGTTAACCCTGTTCTTATTCTTTCTGGAAGAGGTTGCAGTGTGAGCGTCCAGTGGTCTCTTTTAGATTATGGTTGAGGGGTGTCATGTGTGTGCATGTATGGATAGACTGACTGTTTTCACAAGAAGGGGACAGAGCCAGCCTGGGGTCAAGGCACCTGGCTCCTCAGCCTGGTTCAAGTCCTCCCTTCTCTGAGTTCTGGCTTCCCTCTTGTAAGATAATCAGAGTGGTACATGAAAGGAAATTCTGTCCCAGAATTTGTCCTGTCTCGTGTTTGCCATTAGCAAGGTGCCCACCAGGTCTCCTGCATTCCAAGGTGTCAGTCTCTTGTCACCTGCCCTACCCTCTGCCAGAACGCCGTGTAATGGCTTCAGGGGAGGCCCCGGTTCTACATCTGTGGGCTCTCGGTGACAGGCTTGCCCTCTGTGCCCACAGGTGTGGACAGGTTCAGCAATGACATCCAACAGATGATGGGCTTTAAGCCAGGCCTGTACTGGAGACTGTGTTGGAAGTTTGTCAGCCCCGCCTTCCTCCTGGTGGGTAGGGTGTGCCTGGGGTACCTGTAGAAGGGTTGCTGAGTCCAGGTTGGGGGGTGGGGTGGGCAAATTTATTCCCTAGGGGAGGAGGTTCTGGAATCTAGAAGCTGGGTCACGTGGGCAGGACTCCTTAGTAGGGGTGGGGGATAATCTGCCTTAGTGAGTCATCAGCCAGGAACACCCCCCCACATGCTGTTGCGCTGGCTCCAAAGTCACTTTTGTTTCTTCTTTGTTTTCTTTTTCTATTGTCTTTGCCATCTTGAATCTTTGCTATCACTCGCCTCTTGGTTGCTTCTTTCCCATTCCTCCTATGTTCATCTCATTTCGTTTCTATCTCTTCCACTCTCTTCTCTCTTACCTCTGTTTCTCCCGCATCCATATTTCCCCCCGCCCCCATCCTTCCCTCCAGTTTGTCGTGGTGGTCAGTATCATCAACTTCAAGCCACTCACCTATGACGACTACGTCTATCCTCCCTGGGCCAACTGGGTTGGGTGGGGCATCGCCCTCTCATCCATGATCCTGGTACCCGCCTATGTCATCTACAAGTTCTTCAGCATTCGGGGCTCCCTTTGGGAGGTGAGCTCTGGGATGGCTACTGTGGGATGAGGGGGGAGGTGGCGTGCTTGTTGGGGTGAGGGAGATAAGAGAATACTTAGGGTTGGCATACTCACCTCATTTACCGAGTGGGGATCCATCCTGAGCCTCAGTTTCCACATCTGTAACCTGAGAATAATGCTGTGTACCTTGGAAGAGAAAGACACTTGGATGCTAAGTAAAGAATCTGGCCCATGGGAGGTGCTTTTTGCGTGCTGCTGGCCAGGGCTATGGCTGTTTCAGCCGCTCCCAGGAGAAGGCAAAACTCAGCTATGCCTGTCTCCTTTTAACGTGTGTTAATGTCCCCAGATATCCCATCTCTCCTTGTCTGAACCCACTGCCATTTTTCTAATCATAATAATATGGTAAGCCTAAACCAGGGCTTTCTGAAATGATTCCTTTTCCTTTACACATATGCATCAAACACACACACACACACACACACGCACGCACGCACGCACGCACGCATACACGTAACAGAAATACCTTTTATTCTGAAGTTACATCATAACTTTTATTTTGCCATACAAACTAGTGGTAGTAGTCTTTCCAAGAGTTCTTACTTTGTAAGGCAAAGACCTCACATCTGAGTTCTTTGATCACATCTGAGATTGAGGTTCGGGCCACTAAGACTCACCCCTGTTCCCCTCCTTCACAGAGAGTGGCCTACGGCATCACGCCGGAGAATGAGCACCACCTGGTGGCCCAGAGAGACGTGAGGCAGTTCCAGGTAGGTGACGAACTGACCTGGGGGGGTGGCCGGGCAGGGCAGGGTGGGTTCTGGTTGTTCTCCGTGGAGTGCCCAAGCAGGATCACAGCTGGGAAGAGCTGGGTGTTTGGCCAGCTCCTGCCTAGGGGCTAAGGTGGTGGGTGCCCAGTCAGCCTGCTGCGGCTGCTGCTTCCTAGTCCTGGGATACCTGTGCTGGGATGTTCCTGTTCTAGACTACCTCTGAGTTGTCACATTAGCGTCACCAAACTAAGCTGAGCATTTTCTAATCTTGAAGGCACAGCTTCAGGGCATTAATTAAAGCTTCTGGCCCCATGGATGTGGGTGGTGCCTGCTGAGCTCCCTCTTTTGGGGACGTTCATTTGCATCCAGTCTCAGTACCAGCTAAGGACGATGTTCTGGGTTTGTGCTGGGAAGGAGGCTGTTTGTTTTGTCTTCTCTTTGCTTCTTGTTGCTCCAACAAGCTGGCCCCTGTCCCCCAAGACCCCGCTAGCTGTCTTCAACCATATTGGTCCTGCTGTCTATCTTTGCAGCTGCGGCACTGGCTGGCTATCTGAGCCTGACCCCTAGGAGGAGGAAGCCATGGGTCAACATCCGGGTCAAGGGCATCTTCTTCACCCCCGTGTGGATGCCGCCGTGGGATTCCTCTCCGGGAAGAACCCTTCCCATCCCTCTTGTTTCCCCAGTTACCAATGATTCTGTGACTCTGGTTTTGTTCACCTTCTGTTCATCGGGCCTGGAGGCAGCGAGTGTGGAGAACTCTAGTTAGCCTCGAGGAGGAGGATGAGAGGAGGAATGGGGCGTGGCTTCTGGAACTCTGGCTGGAGGGCAATCGCAGTGTAGCCTGAGCTGAGGTCCGCGGCTCTGGCAGAACCCCTTCCTGAATTTGTTTGTACTTCAGACCATAGAAGAAACCTTCGGTTCATCGAGAGCAAGAGAAGATTGACTTTTGGCTAGATACCAAAAGCCCAACCAAAACCTGATGGGGTTTGTGTGGGAGCCAAGGTTACCTTCCTCTTTCCACCTAGCACCACTCTGGTTTCTGAGCCTCTGTGCGGGAGCTGGGTTTATTTGGCACCTAAAATGTGACTGGTAGATGCTGCAGGGCTTTTCAGCAGAAACCCTCCGACTTCGTTACCTAGCTAATCTGAGGTTGGTTTAGGTATATTCCAGAATATTACTCTAGCTTCTGCTGTTTGGATCGTCCCAAACTGTGACGTGATGGGAAGGATGTAGCCGGACCACCAATGAGGAAGTCACCAAGTGAGATACTCCAGAAAGCTGGTAGGGGCAGCTAGATGAATCACCCTTGACAAGGCCACACACTGGTCATGCTCTGTGTGACACAAGGATGGTTCCAGAGACTTTCCTGGGGATTGAGGCATAGCAGATATCTCTGTCCTGTGGGGTTAGGTGCGTGCCTGAGGACAGCCTGATAGGTGGCCATGGTTCTTTATGGTCCACAGACACTTCCTAAGCCTCCTCCTGGAAACCCAGCAGGCAGGAAGAGGTCCTGAGCAGGGGGATCTATTGGCTTTGAAAAGGACATGTTTCTTCATTGACTAGAGTTGGCACCCTGAGGGGCACGATGGGACCTACCACATCACAGCACAGCTCCTCATGTTCTGGGAGGATAGTCTGCCCGGAAAGGACAGGTTGGTGGGGGTCAGGAAATTTCTAGGTTCACTTAGTGCCCTCTGGTGGTTAGTTCTGGTTCATTGTGGGGAAAGGATGGCTTGATAAATCCATGGCATTTCTTCGGGACTTGTGTTTATGGTTTGAGTCTCCTATGCCCCTATTTGAAATTTAGAACCATAGCTTGCCATTGTGATAGTGTTATTCTGTGCTGCAGGTGTGTGTGCGTGCGTGCGTGCGTGTGTGTGTGTGTGTGTGTGTGTGTGTGTTGAAAAGGAAAAACGAAGTCACTGAGCTCACTGGGGTAGTGTAGGAGGCACACGGAAAAACTAACATGTCCCATTGGAGTATGCAAAAGGTCGGGTGAGGCCAGCGGGGGATGGGAAGACGTTTTACTCTGAAGACACAATATTCTGTGCTGAGTCAGGGTCCTTGAGTCATTCCTTAGAGGAAATCCAAGGACTTTGGATTCTTCCATGTTAGAAGGCCAGCTCAGCTCAAGGCTCAGCCCCAGTGGCAAATGTCTTGGAGCGCTGGGGAGGGGGAGGCTCTCCCATGCCCCTGAGTTATAGGTGCAAGTCAGAGCCCGGTGAGCAGATAATCTCAACGTCTCTGAGGAGTAGCAATTCCTTTCCACATGTTACCTTTAAAGACATTTTATCATCATTTAAACAAAACACTTTCGCCCACACTGCCTCCCCACTGGCCCATGGGAAAGGAAGGCTGCTTCCTATCTCCCATCACCTTGGTGAGAAAACAGAGTCTGTCTTGCTCAAGGTATCAACTCCCGAGGGACCAGGGAGGACCCTCTATTCCCATCCTGTCTTCACAGCCCAGTGCACCAGGAAACTCCCCGTTCACCCCACCCTGGGCTGTCCCCAAACACAGAGTACACAGAGTCCCTACTAAGGAGGGAAAAGGGCAGAAGAACGTTACTCATCTTGCCCTCCTGGCTCCCTGAGAGCTATTGTCCTTTTCTTTGATGCCATTTGTCAGCCTTTGAACAGGGGCCCTGAGAAGCGAGTCCACCTTAGCTGTCACAAGTGCGCACACTCAGAAAGCCGGGGTGCCCGAAGTCAGCCTTGGCCCGCCATCCTCTCATTGCCATCGGCGTGGTCCCTCCTCCTGCAGACATTGTCCCTGGGGTGAAGTTGAGATGTGGTGCTAGCTGAATGAACCCCAAACTAAAGCACAGGTGCTGTTCTGTGGCAAAGCTGGCTCGTGAGACTGGGACAAGGGGTTCTTGGTTCCAAGCCCAGGTGCTCTGATGGGGGAGGTAGAGTGGAGCACCCCAAAAGCCCCTGGAGGTTCTCATGGAGGTGCTAGGAGGTCACTGCACCCACATTTCCACTTAACAGATGGGGGTTGATGCTTTATCATAAGTAATGCTTGGTTTCTTTTTTGTGACTTTTTTTAGATAGTGGGGTTCACCCAGGACTACTGTGCTCCTGAGTACTGTATATGACCCTTGAAACTTTTTATATTTCATCGTATTTTTAGAGAATTACTTTCTACGAGCCGTGAGATGTTTGTTTAAGAACATTGATGTTGTTTAACCTCTTTCTGTCAGTCTTCACTCCAGAGTCAAGTGAGACAGCAGAGAAAAGGGGAAGGGGATACCAACTCACCCCAGATACCCTGCTCAGCAAAGGACCCTACACTGCCTTAATTTTCAGAGGGTGCTCCTGCCCATGCAGGAGGCAGTCCCGTGCCACACAATCATCCAGTCTAGACTTTCTAGATCTGGCAATGTAAAACTGACATGTTCTTACCAAAGTAGTCATTTCTGCCCCATGAAGCTCACTACATACGTTCGTTTATTTCTTTTGAGAACAACAGAGAGGAAGTGATCAGAGTGGGTGTTTGGTGTGGCAGAAACAGCACAGCATTTAGAGTTGATAACCATGGGTCTACAGCGAGTTTGCTGTGGCTTGAGAGAGAAGCTTGACGTCTTTGGGTCTGGGGGGGAGGGGTTGTCTGAAGATTAGGAACTTGATCAGGTGACCAATTGAAGGACACATTCTATTAAAAGCATAAACAACAATGAAGCACAAAAACACGCTTGTGCTGAAGTTACAATGGAGAAAGCGCGTCACTTACGGCAGAAGCTTCCCAAAGTGACCCCATAACTGACCATCTATTGGGCTTAGAAACAGAGAATTCTGGCCTACAGAGCTTTGATATTTCTTTATATCTGGTAGCTCCTCTTTCTAGGATATTTTTTTCTGATAATGCCAGAAAGACTTGGTATCTGAAAAGAAGTCGAGTCCAGGCCTGTCAATCTGACACTTGGGTGGTATTGAGAAGGCAAAGGGCATCGCTCTTCTCTGTGTTTGCAAGTCTGGGTACCCACAGCTCTGGCCAGAGGCAGCGCACTTGGCCCTGGCTGGTGAATGTGAAGTCGTGGGGTTCCTGTCCTTGTCCCACTGTGTCTACTTCTGTGTAAATAGGATTGTTTCCATCGCATCTTCTCCATGTCACGGACTGTTCAATATCAGGCACAATTCTGCTCCTGCTTTGGGTGTATTTTGAATGTTGTTCTCTTCATGGAAAAAAATAAGTGTACAGTATAATAAAGGACATTGCCTGTGCTGTGCTTTCTGTCTGGTTGTGGGGTATTAAGTGCTATTCCGTGTGTGTGGAAGCCGTGAGTTATAAAGGGCAGGTGATGCCATCTTTGATGAGCCAACAACTAGTAAAGAAGAGATTCTGGATGCAGGAGCCCACCTTTGTCAGGATGCTCTGAGAATCCATGGAAGAGACAGGAACAGAGGGGGTTGAGTGTGTGATGTTCAAAGACTGTTTCTCCTCTCCTCTCCTCCCCTCCTCCCCCTCCTCTCTCCTCTCTTCCCCTCCCCTCCCCACTCCCCTCCTCCCCTCCCTTCCCTTCTCCTTTCTTCTCCTCTCCTTCCCCTCCCCTCTTTTCTTCTCCTCTCCTCCCCTCCTCTTCCCTTTTCTCCTCTCTTCTCCTCTCCTTGCCTCCCCTCTTTTCTTCTCCTCTCCTCCCCTCCTCTTCCCTTTTCTCCTCTCTTCTCCTCTCCTCCCCTCCCCTCTCCTCTTCTCCTCTCCTCCCTGTTTTAGTCCTTTCCTTCTATTTTATGCTCTGTTCTCTGGTAATTGGAATCAAATTCAAGTCCCAGAGCTCACTGAGCACACTCTCCCCTGCTGAGTTACACCCCTGGCCAAGCACACATTTTTGTTTAAATGCAAAGTAGACGCCACGGGACAACATGCCTGGTGTCTAATTTTGTTTTGTTTGTTATTCCTAGGCCTGGGTTTCTTCAAAGGAATCAGAACCTCTGCTGGATTGAACTGGATGCACAATTTAGTGCAGCTGTGGACTTTTCTGGGCAGAGGTTACAAGTCACATTCAGACCCTTGGAGCCCATGTTGCCTTGTTTGGGGGAAGTTGTGAGCTCAATATGTACCCCCATTTTTATTGAAAATAGATTTTTGTTACATAATATATCCTGATTATGGTTTCCCCTCCCTCTACTCTTTCAGTTCCTCCCCACCTCCCCTCCAGCCACACCAACCCCAGTAGGGTCTCTACAGGATAATAACAAAATGAAATAAAATGTGATAATATAGAACAAAAACTAACACATTGGAATAGGACAAAACAGTCAAACGAAAGGAAAAGAGCCCAAGGGAAGGCCCAAGAAACGGGTATAGAGGCAGAGGCCTAATCATTTGCACACTCAGGAATCGCATAAAAACATTAACTTGGAAACTGTAATATATACCCAAAGGACCTATAGGGTAAAAAGAGAGGAAAAATATAAAAGTAAGATAAAAAGCAAAGCCCTGACGTGCCATCACGAGATAAGGGGCCCTCGATGATGCTGTCGAGTTTGGTTTCTGTTGGCCATCTACTTCTGGGTACGCAGCTTACGCTTAAGAATATCCCCAGTGAAACACC